TTTTTTTTTTCAGCAACGGGACGATGGCGATTTCTGGATTTTGCCAGCAGAGCAGTCGTCAGAGTTGGACGGAAGTGAAAACGTGGAATCTTTTTTGCAAATTTTGGTAGATGAAATCAGATCGCCCCAAGACTACAGGACAAAAACGTCTCGAGATTTCACGAATGAAGAATACAAACGTGAAAAAGAAGTAAGCAGGCACAGTCGATCATCCTGCATAAGTTGATGCTTTAGAAGTTATTCAGCGAGGCCTGGGATTTGATTCTCATTATTCGCCTTAAATCATCTGAATAATTTATCTCCAGTTTGCGGCTTTTTAACTCAGCAGTTCACAAAATAGCCTTAACTTGTGCAAGAGACCGCAAATTAGGTTCAGATTTGAACATGAGATCAAGAGTGGGGACGGAGCAAAAACTGGATTTTGATCTGAGGCCTCCTTTGAATTTCTTTAAATTTCGATTTTATTCTTTTTTTTTGCCTGAAGGATGGTAGCGCTGGCCTGAATTTGAATCTGAGGTCACTAACTATGATATATGGACACTTCCATACGTCCTTCCATTCTCGCTTGCGTCGTAAGTGGCTCCAATTTTATAGCTCCTTTTATTTTACGGTTAAACGTTTCGCTTCAGTGCGTTTTCATTGACATAGCATATAAAACGGCACATAGTCTTCCAAGTGATTTATAAGCATAATTCTAGGCATAATGTATCTTTCCTGTTTCAGGTCGTATTAGATGCATCAGAAGCGAAAGCCGTGTAGGGCTGCATTTAAGTAGCATCGTTGGAACCGCAATGAGTGTTCTTGCAGTTTTTATGGCTTAGCACTTAGTGATGACAGGTTGACTAGCTGTCGCTTCACATATTCTGGCCACCAAAGCAGCTGATAACTACAACTATTCTGACCAAAACTACAGCGTCTGCACATCGTCATACTCCTGACCCTCGCGCTCGCCCGTTTTTCGTCTAAAGAGAATGCTGAATAAATCACATTACATTCGTCATCAGTATCATGACAAATACTGGAAATGTGCGGAAAACAATGGAAGGGTACTGACAAACGAAAGGTACGGACTTCGCAAGGGTGAACAGACCCCAACATTCCTTAGCTGCGCATTTGAGGCAGCCGGGAGTGAAATTTAGGATAATTATGAAATATTCAGTATGCACAGGCAGAGATACTCTTGTGCCTGCGTGAAGCTGGATTTTCGGCTATTTTCAGCTGCTGAGTGGCAAGCTTCAAACACTAATTGCGAACGCGCGCAATTATAAAGTTGCGACCACGCAAACCGTTTTATCAGGCGACACGAAGCAGTATGGCTACGGCACTTCCAATACATCCGCTCCAATCCTTGAACTTTTGCAACGAGAAGATCCTCAGTTAATCAATCGCATTTCGGACTTGATTCAGCAAAAATTGAAAATTCAAAAAATTAACGACAGTGAGCTGGAACTATTACGCACTGAGAAGCACAAAGCCGTAAGTTGCCTGACGGTTATCTGATTCTTTTATCTCCTGTTCGATGTATATTTCTAGCCACTTTAGATCCAAGACCTGAAGGATGTGCACAAAAAAAGAATGAAGATGTTGAATCGGAACCACCGGCTGCAACTAAAAACAACTGAATCGAGATATGCAACGGAAGTAAAACATTTTACAAAGCGAATACACCAGCTACAGGTATTTGCTCACCAAATTTACCTCGCAATAACGCAAAACAGAACCCGAGCCGTGATGCCCACCTGTTTCGCGCTGAAGCATTGCCTCATACATTTATGCGCTTCTTTTTCTGTAATAAAGTAAAAATTGATTTTATTGTCGATTAAACTGCTTTCACCTTGTTTCTCAAGCAGTCCTGCAGAGAAAATCATCCAAAACCATTAAATTTTGTGGATGGTGAAGCAAGAGTGCGAGTGCTATGACTCAACCTTTTTTGAATGCTTCTGTTTCTCGTATTGAGTGAAAAATTGGGTAGCGACA